GCTTGGGACGTGACAGGGTCCTTCCCTGAGATTTTCTGAGTTAAAAATAAGAGAAAAGGACAGTCTCTGTTGGGTGGCAAAGCTACGAGATGGGAAGCCAGGAGCTGCCATCCACAGCTGCTCGGAGAAGTGGGTCTGCCGTGGGGGAGTGGCCGTCTCCCACCACCTTTTGCCCAAGCTGATTCCAGGAAGGCTGCTGTCCTCTACCATAATGATCCTGAAAAATATACCAGGTCTAGGTCAGTCCCTGCCCTGGGCGGGGTGGGACACAGACACACCTGTTCCTGTGCGTGGGTCCTGTGTGTCCATCGATGCAATGCCCAGGGTCCCAGAGGATGAAGCAATGAAGCAGTTGGGGGGGTTGCTGCTAACCTGCTCGTTGAACTTTGGCTGGAACTTATCACTTTTATACTTTTTTTTTTTAAAGATTTTATTTATTTATTTGACAGACAGAGATCACAAGTAGGCAGACAGGCAGGCAGAGAGAGAGGGGGAAGCAGGCTCCCTGCCGAGCAGAGAGCCCGATGTGGGACTTGATCCCAGGACCCTGAGATCATGACCTGAGCCGTGAAGGCAGAGGCTTTAACCCACTGAGCCACCCAGGCGCCCCTCACTTTTCCTCTTTAGACCACATCAGGGCCCTTTGCTGGCTCCCCGTGTTATATGTTACAAATTCCTTCCTACCAGACTTTGCACTTCAGTAGGAAGACTAGCCACTTCTTAACTGTGTGACTTTGGGGCAAGTTTTCTCATTTCTAAAACAAGGGTGCTAATAGTATCTGTCTCAGAGGAAATCAAACGAGTGAATCCATAAAGAGGGATTTGCTGTTCTTTTTATTTTCTGCATCTTTTGTGGGGGTCTGCTCAGCAGCCTGCACAGGCTAGGTGCTGTTGCTCTGTAAACATATGTGGCCAGTGAGTGGGGATGTAGAAAGACAGCTCCGGGTGTGCACGCCCTGCACCAGAGAAACACTACGGACACACCCACACACACACACCCCCACACGTGCACACACAATCACTCGATAACAGCACTCAGATCTCAGCGCTCTGCACAGTGGCTCTCATGGGAACCCGGGGTATCCCCTGCCCCTGGCTTCTCTGGAGGGCAGCCTGCAGCTCCCTGATGATCCCAGCAGCTCCACATTGCTGGGAGCCCAGCTTGGAGCCTGGCTCAGCCCTACATCATGCATCAAGGGCAGCAGGACCTGCGGTGTTCTGGGAGTGTGTGTGTGTGTGTGTGTGTGTGTGTGTGTGTGTGTGTGTACATGTGTGTAGGGGGGGCAGGGGTGGCGGTAGTGATGATAGTGCTGGTTAACCTGGGGGGGATGGGATGCCTGGCTTGCTGGAGTTCTGGCTTCCAGAGCTGCTGTTCTCTGGAAGCTTCCCCTCCTCACTCCCTGGGTCCCCCAATCTCTTCTATTCTCCCTACCTCCAGCACCACTGCCTGGGGGCTCTTGTGGGGTCTGGCTTGGTCTTTCTACTGGAGAAAGAGGGGCTTGTCTGTGGATCTGGGTCTGTGGACTCCTGGGTGGACTGAGTGCCTGCCCCCTTTCCTCTTTCTGAGGACTATCAGGGCCCGCATCCTGCGCCATGCCCTCAGCTCCCCTGCCACCGCCCCTGCTTTCCCTTGTGCTATGCACGGGAATATTAGTCTCTCAGGATGTTCTGGGCAGGCATGCTGTGCGCAGTGAGATACCCTAGGGGTTTGAGTGGAATGAAGATGCTGCTTAGAGTGTCTTGTGTTGGGGACAGTGTGGCTGGGTGTGGCCCCCCGTGTGGTATGCAGCATAGTAGCAAGTGCCTGAGTTAACTGTTTTGTCGAGAATGTCTTTGCGTGAGCTGTAGATGGCCAGCAGGCTGTGTTTTGGGCCATTGCCTACTATAACGGTCAGGGCATTAACCCTTTGCGCCGACGTCTGGGCACTGAAAAGAAAACGGTGGGGGGCGGGGGAAGGGAACCTCCCTTCTGGGTGCTCTCTGAGCCCTCCATTCCCATCCCTCCACCAGTTAGATCCCAATGTGGCCAAGTAGCCTGGCAAAAGGGCGGGGAACGCAGGTCCTGGAGTCCTGCTGGGTTCAGAGCTCTTATGAGCAGCTTACCACCCACACCTCTCTGCCCTAGGCCTGGAGGTGGGGAACGTATTGGGAATCCCATGCCCCTTGGCCGGTCCCTTCCAGTGCCCAGGTCGGCGCTCCCAACAAAGGCGACAGACCACGTGTCCCCTCCTCGACGCAGGCCAGGAATGGGGACGCACGTGGCCCCAGCCTCCAGCTCCAGCCGGGGCTGGGTCGGGACACTACGCTGCGCCCCAGGTGGGCGCAGAGCTGCACCCCCCCGCAGTCCCGCCGCCGCCGGGGCCGTGCCTCGCCCACTCCCAGTCGCAGCCGCTGCAGCGCCCGGGAAGTGGCGCTAGGGGGAGCTCTGGCAACTGGCTTGGTGGGTTGAAGCGAAACCGAGCATCAAACAGCTATTCCTCGTATTTGCAGGGAAGAAATGGGGAGCGGGGAGACACACGGTTCCCCCTCCCCAGCAGCTCCAGACTCTTCCCGTGGGAGGCCGAGAAAACAGCCCTGGGGGGGAGGCGGGCGGGTGAAGGTGCCGTTCCTCCCAGTAACTCACGCCTCCGTAGTCTCTCTTCCCCACCCCCATCGCGGACCTTCGCGGCCCCCCGCGCTCTGGAGTGTCCCCTAGTACTAAGCCTCGCGCGACACGGGGACCCGGAGCCGAGAGGGCCCCTGGGACTGGCATGCGTCCTCCTCTCAGAGTCTGGGGTGGGGCCTCTCGGCGGCGGCCTCTCCTGTCGCTGCTGGAGGCGTGAAGGCTGAGCTGGGGGCGCCAGTCGTCCTGCGGGGTGGCTCGCGCCGGAAAGGGGAGCGCAGGGGTGAGAAAGCGAGCGCGAGAACACTGGGGAGACGGCCAGAGACAGAGGGACAGCGAGAGATACTGTCAAACAAACAGAGAGCAAGCTGCCACTTTGCTTTTTTTTTTTTCCCCTTTCCTTTCTTGTCTTTCTTTTTTTTTTTTTTTCCAGGCTTTCTTCCCTATCCCCTATTTGCAAAGCTGGAACCACCCCGCGCGCCCCCGGGCTTGAGCTGCGGCTCCAGATGTGAATTTGGTTCCAGTGGGGAGAACGCGAGCTTCCTCGGGGCCTTGGCACATTCTCCCACTCTGAGGTCATTCCGTAGGTGGTCAGAGGGGAGAGCGCGCCTGGAGCCTTCCTGCCTCCATCCACTGGGGAGGGAAGAGAGGCGGGCGGGAGGGAGGAGGGAGGGAGAGGGGAGGGGCGCGAGGAGGGAGGGAGACGCCGCCAGCACACCACCAAGTGGCACCGAGCAGTGATAACAAACTCAACTTAAAAAAAAAAAAAAAAAAAAAAAGGAAAAGGAAAAAACTTCCCCAAGTTGCAGCCCGAGACGTGCGGACGAGCGGGCGGAGGCGCGGGGCGGGGAGCGTGGGTGGCCCAGAAGCCCCCCGGCGTCCCTCAGCTGCTTTCCCCGGCCGCAGAGAGCTCAGACTCCAGGCCCACCAGGCCCTCCGCCCCTGGCTGGGCGAGAAATGTGCTGAAGGCAGGCTCGGCTTTCTGCTGGAGACCCCGGGGGCGGCCGTTCCCGTGGGGGGCACGCCTCTCAGGGGAGAGCGGCCCGGGAGGCGCACAACACTAGCTTCATCCCCAGCAACCAACATCTCCCCATTCCCAATCCTGCTCCCACCCCGGGCCCTGCCGTAGTGGGCAGATCCAGCCCGCCCAGGCCCCCGGAGAGAGCTGAGATTTGCATGCGGGTAGGGGGTCTCCCTACCTCCCCCTGATCTCCCCACCACCTCCAGACCTATCTGAAAACAAGACACCACCATCCTCTATAATCGACTTTTTATTAAGATTATAAATTTAAACAAATCATCTCAACAGTTTTACCCGGTGATATACAATTCAGTATGCACAAAAATACAGAAGAATGAGGGAGAAGGGCCAAGAAAGGAAGGGTTGGCAACTTGTTTTGGAGTCCACATGGTGCTGATGGCAGAGAACCAGAGGGGCTGCAGATGAACCCCACCTTTTTACAACAAAAGGCTTTAAATTAAACAAAATCTATCGAGCTGAAGACACAGGACAGGGTTCTCACAGCCTCGAACAATGCTGGTTTCATGAAATGCAACCGAAGCCTCAACCAGGACAGTGCAACTTAGAAGCACACACACAAACACCACATCTGACCGGGAACTTAGTGAAAAGTCTCCAGCGCAGTCGGCGGTCCCGGCCCCTCCCTCCCTCGGGGCCGCGGGGGATCCAGGTGAAGGAATCGACTTCCTTTTTTGTTTAGTGAGGACCGCAGTGCTGGGCATGATGGGAAATGTAGTCAGCCGTGCCCGCCCCCCACCCCTTCCCCAAACGGTGTTCGGGAGTGTCGGGGTGTCGGGCGCCACCCCCGAGTCCGGGAGACGGGTGGAGGAGGGGAAGAGAGCGAAGCCAGAGGGGCGGGGAGAGGAGGGGTTCAAGACACCCGCCCGGGGGGGGGGGGGGGGGGGAGAAAGTTGAAGTGTTTTCATTTCTGCCTTCTCATTTTGAGAACTTTGGAGGCCGCCCCCGGAGAGGAAATGTGACCCAAACGTCCCTTTCGGAGATAGAGAGTTTGCCTTTGTTTTTGCTCAGGATTTCACAAGACCCATTCCTCACCCCATGGAGGGACTCGGGAGAACCGAGCGCCGGGCTTGCCGGGTCTGACAACTGATTGGAATTGGCATCCCGGGCCCCGCGCCCTCCTGCGTTGCGCCCCCGGCGCGCCCCGGCAGCCCGGGCGCCCTGCCTCGCCCCCGGCTGCCCGGCACCTCCTCCGGGCAGCAGCCCTCCCTCACGTGGCTGGCTCCTCGCTAAACACCACTGCAATCACTACAATAAAAAAAAAAAAAAAAAAAAAAAAAGAGTAGGAGAAACACAAAGCATACTTAAATAGGCGCTTTTTCTCTCTGCAAAAATAAAGTCCAAGATCTTAGATTTTTTTTTTTTTATTTTACAATTTATAAAACATCAGCCGCCTCCCCCTGCTCGCTCCCAGCTCAGCCCCGGTGGCCAGGCGCCCGTTCGCTCCCTCCTCTCGCCCCTTGGCCGAGTCTTTGTCTGGCCCCAGCCCCACGGGGCCCCGGGGCCCCGTGCCCTCGGGGGTCCCTAGAAGGCGACAATGGCTCGAGTCCAGGCGCCGAGGCTGGCGAGCGCCTGCTTGGCGCACAGCTGCCCGTTGAGCGGCGGCGGCTGCTCGGAGGAGTCCGGCTGTCGGCTCACCAGCCCCGAGAAGCCCGAGCCAAAGATGGAGATCAAGTTTGAGATGTTGGACGCGTCCGGGGACGAGTCCGGGCAAAAGTCCTCGAAGCGGGCGCGCTTGCAGGGGGCGAACTGGGCGCCCCCGGGGGGTTCGGCTCCCAGGTCGCCCGCGTCCTCCTCGTCGTCTTCGTCCTCCTCCTGGCCCGGGTAATACTTGCGCTTGCAGCCGGCGGCGGACGCCAGGCCGGGTCCTGGGGCGCCCTGGCCACAGCAGGGGCAGTGGGCGGAGGCGCAGCAGTCCTGGTGCAAGTAGCCGTTCTCCACCGTGGTCACCACGTGAGTGTCCAGGTCCAGCACGGTGGTCTGGCTGCTGCAGTGCACGCCGAAGTCCGAGGGGGCCGGGTACGCGCCCCGGTAGAAGCCTGGGGAGGAGGCGGGGGCCGGGGAGGCGGGCGGGGAGGCGCCAGCAGCCGCCTGAGGGGCGGCCGCTGGGGGCGCGGAGGGCGCGGAGCAAGCGGCCGAGGCGCGAGGGTCCCGCGGGCAGAGCGCGGCGGGAGCGGGCGGCGGCAGCGGCGCAGGACCCGGCTGCAGCGGCTCCAAGGGCTGCCCGCGGTGGGGCGCGCCGTGCGGCGGTTGGAGCGCGGCGCACCCGGGCAGCTCCGAGAGCGCCCCCGCGCCGCCCGCGGGCGCCCCGGCCGCCGCCGCGCAGCCCCTGGGCGCCGGGTGCTGGTGCTGGTGCAGCTGCTGCTGGAGGTGCAGCTGGTGGAGCTGGTGGAGCTGGTGCAGCTGGTGCCGAGCGGCCGGCTCGCGCGCCTCCGCGTCCCCGCCACCGCCAAGTTGGAGCGGGCCGAAGTCGGCCGCGCTGGCCGGCATGCCGGGTGCCGCGTACGCGAGGTGCTGGTGCTGGTGGTGCGGCGGCTGCTGTTGTTGCTGCTGCTGCTGCTGCTGCTGGCGCCGGTAGAGCTCGGCGTAGCGCTCGCTCAGGTAGAGCTGGCGCGCGTTGCGGAGCACGTAGGACACCAGGAGGTTCTTGTGCAGCTTGATGCCGCCGCGCTGGGTCCGGGAGCTGTGGATCTTGCGCAGGGAGATGCTGATCAGGCTCTGGGCGTCCAGGGCGCACTCCATGCTCCCGCGGAGACGGTGGCGGCGGAGCAGCCGCGGCCGCTGCTGCTGTTAAGACTGCTGTTGCTTCGGCCTCCAGCCGGTCGCCGGGTCGCGTCGGGCAGGGGAAACGGAGCCCGGGTCAGCGGGTCGGCTGCGCTCCGAGAGGAGCCGCCACCATGCGCTGCGCGCCACCCACGAGATCGTGCTCCCCAATCCGCGCCAAAGCAATGAGCCTCGGCCGGCCCCGGCCCCAGCTATTTAGCCGGGCGTCCGGGCCACGCCCCACACCGCATGAACCAATAGAAGTACCCGGAGCCTCCCGAGTGACAGGCGCTGCCCGCCCCGGGGCCACCCGGCTAGCCAATCAGACCAAGGCGGTTCCTTTGTGCTATTCAAATACCGAACGGACCCTGGGCCTCCAACGCCGCCGCTGCCTCGAATGTTCTCCTGGGGCTGCCGTGTCGCGCGGGACTCGGAGCCGCTGGTGCCGCTGTGTGCACCCTGGGTCGCCTCGCAGCCGCCACGTTGGAGTCCGCAGACGCCCTTGGCCCAGCTCCTGGGAGCCGGGGGTCGGCTCACCTGAGCGCTGCGGCGGCGGCTCCTCCCCCTTCCGCACGGCTGGGCCTCACCTGCGGCAGGTGCGCGCAACTCCCCCCTACTCCCGGCCACGCGGCACCTCCTTTTTCACCTGCCGACCCCGGGTGACCGGCGGGACCCAGGCCTCTGCAGGAGACTAGTGGGGCCGCCGGCCTGACCTTGGGGACCCTTAAGGGATAAAGGTTTGGAGGTACCTCAACCGCAGAGAATATTGGGCCTGACTCTCTTGGCTTTTTGGCCAAGAAGTCTTAGGAAATACTCGGGGAAACGCCCTCCTCCCCATTTGTCTGACGGGAAAACTCAAAACATGGTGAATTTGGGTCTCAGAGGGCTCGAAACCAGCTGAGGTCAGAAGGCGTTCTGAGCCACATGGAGTGTCCTTATCGCCGGTACTGTAACCTTTCCTTTCCTTTCTAACTAATAATAATGACAATGAGAACTATTACTAGGTGTCTAGTGTGGGGCAGACCCTTGCCAGAAACACCCTGCATCCCTCACTGTGACTGCCTGCAGAGCGGGGACCAGAGTCTCCAAGGAGTGGGACCTGTGGAATCCTACAGCTCCCAGGGTGCAGAGCTAGGATTTGGGCCAGGACTGTGAGCTCCAGATGGGAGGGAGAATAACCCGGGTCCAGGAACTCTTCAACTTAACTTTCATTAACACCATAACCCTTTTGCCCCGAACCATCATCCATGGGCCACCTTCTCCCAGCTGGGGACTGGGGATTGGAGAAGAGAGGGTTAGGACTGCCATCTATGGCGAGGCGTGAAGGGGGGTGACTGCTGGTCGAGTGGGGGGTCCAGGAGCTTTGCCTGAGGAAGAGTCCTTGCGTTGGCCTCGTGGAGGAGGCCCCAGCTTCGCAGAGACTACTCGAGCTAGGCAGGCCTTGGGGGGCTTGGGGTGGGGATGGGGTCCCAGGAGCAAACTTCTTCTGAGTGTCCTCTTTTCCTTGCTTGGGTCCATTGTCCTCAGTGCCTATTTTGTTCCTGGGTGGGAGTGAAGAGACCCAGCCGGTCCATCCTCCAGTTTCTGGGTCTCTCTTTGGTCTCAAGAATTCTTCAGATTTGTTTCCACAAACACTTTTCAGCTCTACTCAGGGCCAGGCATCAAGGGTGAAAACAAAGTTAGGGAGCATTTACCCCGTTTTTCAGGTGTGGGAACTTGGCATTAACTTCGGACATGACTTGCCCAAGGTCCCACAGCTCCAGATTGGCACTCTGTCCTTTCGATGCTGTCTCAGTCTGCTCCAAGCTCTTCAACTGGGTAGCATCTCTCTGAGCCCCCACCCAGAGACGCCAGGATGGACATTTTAGGGTGACTTCAGAGAAAGCGCATCTTACTTCCATTCTATGGAAGAGGTGATCTGGTGATAGAGACACACAAGAATGGAATTTATCCAGGAGATAATGCATGTAGGAATAAAAAAATCCATTGCTCCTTACTTCCTCAGGGCCTGTCTTCAAAACACAGAAAAGTTTCATTTATTTATTTTGGAGTTCACCTTTGAGATATCATTATAGCATGTGGAGGGAGGCGGGAGGTCCTATGTGGTTTTCCGGCTGTGAGGACTCCATATGTAACAGTCAAGTCTGGGATCCACAGTGTCCGGCCTGTTGTAAGAGGCCAAGAATGGATTATTAATGCTGATTTCAGGTCTTCCTTCTGTCCTTGCCCAAAATTTAGTGGAGGAAACTAAGAGAGTGTTTTTGCTCAAGGTTCCATCACACAGCCAAGAAGGGGTAGAGGTGGGATTTGAACCCAGGACTGTTTGTAGGCCTGGACTTATTATAGCTTCTTTGAAATCAGCTGCTTACTTCTGTCCTTGGTAGATCTGAGTCCAGTTCCCAGGCCTCTGCGCATGCTCCATGAACGTGACCTTGATGTAGTCAACGCCTGCCACTTTCCCGCCAACAGCTCTGGGACCAGCATCTGCAGGAACCCAGAAGAAGCAAGTATCTGTCCCAGGCTCATCATTCACAGCCAGTCTTAGAGCTGCTCCCCAAACATGCCTCTGTGGGCCCCGATAGGGAATCAGTATAGGGATGGAGGTGGGCTCTCTAACCTCAGGAGGGGGTCACGGGCTAGGCTCTTCACTTGGGTAGCTCCCCTTGGCATTTCCCTGTCCCCCACTCACCCCTGCCCCAAGGCAAGTTTGAGCTCTGCTAAGACTCTTTCACTCCTAGGGATCAGCTAAGAGATGGTCAGCTCATTGGTGTGACCCCATACTTTGGCCCCTCTTGTCCAGGGCCCACAATTACTTGGTTTCCTCTCCTTCTCGAGAATCGAGATGGGCCAGTGGGGTGAGCAAAGCAGTTGTCCAGCTTCCTAAAAACCCTTGATCTTTTTTGGGGGTGGCCTTGGAGGGGGGAGTTGCCACAGCTGTTGTAACAAAAACAGTTGCTAAAGGAAGCAACGGAACAGCTGAGCTATTTGGTGCCCTTGGTAGGGGGCAGTGAAGCTGGGGGGCGCACAGTAGGGACTCACAAATGTTTGTAGAATGGGTGGGTCACACACAAGGCTTCCATTAGGATGCACAGTGGCTCAAAGCAGAGTACCAGAGACTGCTTAGGGCAGTGAGTGTGGGGTTGTGTGTGTGAGCCTCCCTGTGCCTCCTTATGTGGGGAGGAGGGGCCCTCAGACCTGTGCCCTATGCAGGAGGCAGGTCCGAGGGAGATGAGACTTCTTAGGATGGAGAGCTGGCCTTATTTGTCTGGGCACCTGAGAAAGGTTCGGGCACTCACCTTTCCCCCTGGAGCTGGGAGCTTACATCTGGCACTGGGTCACGGCTCCGTGGAGGAAGTTAATTAATGCCTAAATATTTGCTGAGTGTCTGCTGGGACAGCACGAAGCAGGGCACAAAACCCATTGGGACCTGGGCTCCTGCCAAACCCCTGGCAACGTCAGCCCCATGCCAGAACAGGTAATGCCTTGAAAGTGCTACATGTGCCTTGTGAGCTCTTTCTGGTTACCCAGATTGCAGGAGGGAGGCAGGGCTAGGAAGGTTCCTGGTCAGCAGTGGGATCGGCCTGGTGGGTTCCTAGCGCTTGGCTTGAGGAAAATGGATGCAAAAGCAAAAGCCTAATTAAGGGTGCTGTGTTGGGGTGAGAGGGGAAGGGTGAGATTTAGAATTCATGCATTCATTGTTCATCTGCCCAAGAGTTATCTCTAGGACTGTCCTCTGGAATCCCTGCAAATGGGTCAGGGGATAAGATGAGATCCTGTCCTTAGGAGGCCACGATTCAAAGGGAAGCAGACAAGATAAACCGAGTGATAAGTCCATGATAGGAAGAGGGACCAGGCTGCAGGAGGACAGGGGAGGGCCCCCAAAGCTGGTCTGGGAGGGCTTCCTGCAGGAAGCTGAGACTTGGAGGCCAAGGGCGGGGAGGGGCCTTCGAGCAGAGAATAGCTCACAGCTTAGTACAGGGCCTGGTACACAGTAGGCTCTCAATAAATGCTTGTGGACTAAACGAGTCAATGAATATAAGTATGCAGAAGATATCGTTAGGGTTAGAAGGGCCCTAGAGACCAGGCTACCCCCACTTCTAATTTCCACACAGGTAAACTGAGGTCCAGAGCGGGGGAGGGAGGCCCTGAGAGTGTTGCCCTGGAGCTGGGGCTTGAACCCAGCCATCCCACGTCCTGGTCTGGTGCCTGGCTGCCACAGCTCCTGATTTCTGAGACTTGGAGTGTTGCTCCATGGGGACTGAGCCTGGGGACCGCAGGCAGTGGCAGAGAAGGCGGTGGGGTGCTTCTGACCTCAGGGTTCACTGTTGAGTCCTCTCTGAGGCCCAGGCGCTAGTCACCCTTGGAGGTATGAGCCTTATACTCATCTCAAGAAAGCTGTTTGGCGGTTGGTGGGTACTGGGGAGCTCAGCTGGGGTCCTCGAGGCCAGAAAACCCCCACCTCCTGCCCCACAGAACCCAGACCCTGTCACTGTTCCTGGTAGCTGCTATTAATCCACCAAGGTCAGTGTTTGCCAGGCATGGTCCTGGGCATCAGGCTCGGTGTGCAGAAAGACATCGTAGTCTCTGGCTTCGAGGTCCTTCAGTGTGATGAGAAAGATGGATGGAAACTTGGCTTTTCAGAGCTCTTGCCTGGGGCCAGGCACTGGGCCCAGTGCTTTCCCTGGAGATATCCTCGAGTCCACACACCAGCCTTTGGGGCAGGTTTGGGTATAACCCCCATTTTATGGATGGAACCACTGAGGCACAGAGAGCTTGCATGACTTGCCTGGGTCACAGACCAGAAAGAAGTGACTTCAATCCCAGGGCTCTGGGTAAGTGGGATCACCATGAGCCGAGCCCAAGAGAGGAGTGAGACCCCCACTATTCCTTACAGATTTACTGGCCTTTTGAACAAACTCTATACTTGTAGATGGAATGTGTAGAGAGGGCGGATGTGATCTCTCAATTAGGGTCTCTGCCCAAGCACCTGGGACAGGCTGGATGTCTATTTGCTCATTCATTCATTCATTCATTCACTCTATAACCATGGACTAAATGCTGGCCAATGTACAGGCGCTGTGCTAAGCCCCTGGGGAAAACACCAGGCAGCTCACACAGCCTAGAGCGAGCTGAGGATCCTCTTAATCTCCCAGGCCAATTCCAATTGATTG